CTATCAAGTCCACAGGTTTTCAGGAGAGAATCTATGGCTTATATTTTAAACTGTTCTGCAGTTTAAAACATTTCTTGCTTTCTATTTTCATTGCTTGATTTAACCATGTCATAAAAAGTGGAAATCTCAATATTGTTTAAAATCACTATGGTTAAAAGGAAGGGGGAAAACATGACAATTTAGGGTTACACATAGCATACTAAGTCATTGTTTGTAAATAAACTACACTTGGGTGGCTGGGTATAACATGAAGTCATAAACTATGATGTTTCAACCGTAATGACTCAGTCCTCACAACAGGTTATCTTGATCTTTATAGGCATGAGAAAAGTTTCGGGAGATGTGCTGGACAAGACTATGCGTTGTTAGTTTTTTTTATAGTATCAACTTAATGAGATGACAATTTTCTTCAAATACTGTCTATTTTGTACAAACACATATATTCACAATATATCTATCTTTGGCCCATTGTCACTGATGTAGGTGTTTACATTCTGATAGAAGTGAAATAGCATAGAACATCTGAAGCCAATATAATTTCTCAAGCGATTAGCTATTTTGTCAAAAACCAAGTTTGGCTATATCATTGATCAGACTAAGTCAACCACTTTAAAGGCAGCAGATTTGGAGATCTTCCCCTGCCCCTCATTTGATTTCTCAGAGCTTCTCAGACATTTCTTTCTAATGGAGAACAGAATAGTGTATATTGCCAGTTTTACTTAGCTGTACTAGGCCTCTACCACAAAGAAGAAATAGGGGAGACATGATAGCAGTATTCCAGTATCTGAGGAGCTGCCACAAAGAAAAGGGGGCCAAGTTGTTCACCAGAGCACCAGAGTCAAGGATGAGAAACAATGGTTGGAAACTGATCAAAGAGAGAAGCAACCTGGAATTAAGGAAAAAGTTCCTAACAGTGAGGACAATCAACCATTGGAACAGCTTACCCCCAGAAATCATGGATGCTCCATCACTGGAAGTTTTTAAAAAGAGACTGTCTGAGATGGTATAGGTCCTCCTGCTTGAGCAGGGGGCTGGACTAGAAGACCTCCAAGGTCCCTTCTAGCTCTATTCTATTCTATTCTGTTTTGAGGTATGCTTTTCTATTTTGCTATCAGCAATCTTGGTAGCAAAATAGAAGAGGTCTGAAGGGCATGCCAATGACAATATCCCACAAATCTTTAATTATAAGTTACATCATTTAGAAGTATCCAAAAATAATGAATTCCCATTTGCATATAGATTCAGGAAGTGTAAATCGGATTAATTTTTATTAAAATGCAAACCAACTGTAGGAGAATAGGAATTATTCAGATTTTTGTAGGGCTTCCTAAAATAAAAGAAATTTTCTTCCACCTGTTACCATATGTGCTTGTCAGCTAACTTAAAACATTAGTGTTGCTTAATTTTTAATTTAGGAGGCCTTAAAAAAAATTTGAACAAACCATATCCTCCTACATGGAAAGCTAGTATCTGCCAATACCACTTTGACCAGCCTCTAACAAACCTTTCTTGATCCTTGTGTCAAAATACATAATCATCCATTCATTTACTATTCTTTTCCCCTCCCCTTTTTCTTTATTACTCCCTTTTTAGGCTCACTCCTCAGGCTTCCCAGATGAGAAATAATGTCTTTTTCTCTTGCTGTAGACATGCCCATTGACCAATATTACCTGCCTGTCACCAGGAGGATCCACTAGGATCCATCTATACTATTCCTATTATCCTCAAGAAATCAATTCCAGTGCGCCTAATGTTCTTCCTGCCAGTGGTGGCTCATCAGTGCAAAATTTTTCTGCATTTCAGGTGGTGTGATCCACTTGAGCCCCTACCGCCACCCTATCAATTATAGTCTTGTAATTCTGTCTCCAGTGCCACCAGCTCCATGCACTCCTTCATTGTTCTGTCAATAGTCTCCCATTTTTGGTTGCCTTAAAAGGACGTATTATACCTTCCCATGATCTCCTTTGATTTGAAGCCACTTGTGGATATTTGGGGTTATTTTGCGACTCCCAGTTAGAGTGTTACTGGCTAGTTGTCATTGCACCTCTTCCCCGTACATCTCAGCCTTCAACTCTCTTTTTTTTTTTTCCTACTTCTTCCCACTCTGTGTCCAAACCTCCTCAACACTGTTCAGTCTTATGCTCCTACTTCTTCACCAGCTCTCAGTATCATTGCCACCATCCCAATTGTTTGCCTTTGATTCGTTTTGCACAATCTTTCTATATTCTGTGTCCTTTTCCTTCACTTTTTTCTTCTTAGTTTTCTCTTCTTATTCACCTCACCATGGCTGCCATTATATTTTGGTCTCTTAGCAAAGTTCATTGGACCGAAGCATTTTTTTTCTGCCCAGCTCTGATATCAGGGCTCTGGTGGTTGTCCAGTATATGCAACTTTTATATTTTATTATTTATATTTATATTTTAAAGTTCCTTAGTTTATACCCTCATACTGAACAATGAAAAAAAGATTCCTTATTTACAGCACAGACCTATGAATTATTTTTAATCTGACTGAGACATGTGCCTTAATTTAAGACTAAACTTAATTAGGTGGCACGAAAAGCTTTCCATTGTAATATTTTGTCACAAGTTTTAAGTAATATTTAAATTTTAAGAGGAAATCATGATTAACAATGACAGAAATTCACTTTTAGATTTATATTTCACCACTCCTCAGGTGCTCCAAGTGGCCTACATAGCAACCCCCTCTTCTTTTTCAAAAAAATATTCCCTTGTTTCGCTTGTTCTCTCTGCCCGTCTTTTCAGATATTAGTATAACATTTCAGAGGCTTGCCTTTCCCCAACTTCACTTCTATTGGTCCACACCTTTTTATAATGGCTTTCCAGGCACTATATGTCTCATATGTATAATAAAATCTAGGACATAGCTCAGTGATTTCCATCAAAGTTCTTTTTGTCTTGCTTCCCTTGTCTAATCTTCTACATCCTGTAGCGTCCCTCTCCCTCCTTCTCTTTGGCAGATGTCCTGAGCTTTTTTTTTTTTTTTTTTTTTTGAGTTCCTGACAAGCCGAAAAGAAATTACTGTAGTTGTGAAATTTGTAGGACAGGCAATTTTAGCAATTGCTGAAAATACTACAGAAGGAAAACCAACACAGTGTTCAGATGCTTGCCAATGGAAATGAATCAGAAAGAGTCAGGATATGAATGGACAGGTAAGCCCCATTTTCTCTGTCCTCTATAAGCTAAAATATGTGTGTCTTTAGGAAGCTGTGAACAAGTTTGCCCTAATATAGCTGAGCCCTTATCTGTGTTCTTATCAGAATTGCCATTAATACATTATCTACAAGGAAGTTCATAATAATAATAATAAGAATAAGAATAAAGTTGGAAGGGACCTTGGAGGTCATCTAGTCCAACTCCCTGCTCAGGCAGGAAATCCTATATCATTTCAGACAAATGGCTGTCCAGTCTCTTCTTAAAAACTTCCAGTGTTGGAGCATTCAGAGCTTCTGGAGGACGGTTGTTCCACTGTTTTTTATGGTACTGTTTTTGATAGGTTGGGCTGTTTTTTCCCTTTGTGTAAATACAGATACAAAAAAAGAGTTGAGTAGTTCTGCTTCCTCCCTGTTGCTTGTCACCTTCTTGCCACTTTCTCCCACTAATGGACCAATCATTTCCTTAACTTTTTTCTTGTTTTTTACATGTTGAAGGAAGCTTTTTTTTTTTGTTATTTTTGACTTTTGTTGCACACCTTAGTTCATTTTGAGCCTTAGCTTTCCTCACTTCATCTTTGCAGGCTCAGGCTATTTGCTGATATTCTGCCTTAGTTATGTGCCCCTCTTTCCACTTTTTATACTTGTCCTTTTTGCCTTTCAATTTATCAGAGAGTTCTTTATGCAGCCATGCTGGTTTCTTTTGAGAGCTGTTATTTTTCTTCTTTATTGGGCTTTTATAATCTCACTTTTCAAAATTTCCAAAGCTGCTTGAGTTGTTTTCCCCTTGAGGATTGTCATCCATGGAATCCTTCCCAAGTTCTCTCTAAGTTTGTTGAAATTAGCTGTCTTAAAGTCCAAGACTCTAGTTTGACTGTGTTCTATTGCTTGTGCTTGCATAATGTTGAATTCCAGTATTGCATGATCACTCCCCCCCAAGGTTCCTGTGATTTCAACATCTTTTATCATTTCATCTCTGTTAGTGAAAATTAAGTCCAATATGGCTGATTCCCTAGTTCCCTTCTCTACTTTTTGGGAGAGAAAGTTGTCTGCTAGGTTTGTCAGGAATCTGTTTGATCTTCCACTTGGTGCAGAGTTTGTCTCCCACTTGATGTCAGGGTAATTAAAGTTCCCATGCTATTGTGATGTGCTTCCTGCACACCTTAGTTAACTGTCTAGCAAAAAGTTCATCTATTACCTCTGTTTGATTAGGTGGCCTATAGTATATACCTATAGCAATGTCATTTCCCCCACCCTTTTATATTGACCCAAATGCATTCAAGACAGTTTTCATCGTTGTTGTGCTCTGTTTCCGTAGAAATGTGGTTATTTCTTATATAGAGAGCAACTCCTCCTCCTCTTTTATTTGGTCTGTTTCTTTTAAATAATTTAAATCCCTCTAGTTGTGTGTTCCATTTGTGGGTTTCATCCCATCAAGTTTCCATAATGGCAACAATATCATGTCTGCCCTCATTTCTAATTCACCGTTTGTTGCTCATGCTCTGTACACTGGTGTATATACACTTGAGTCCTTTATGACTGACCCTGTGTTTACTTTCTACATAACCTACATAATCTTCTAATTTTCTATTCTCAAGGTAAGGGATTAGCCAGGCAGGGAATTCTGAAAACCCTTTTCTTTCAAAAGCTCTTCTACTCTTCAAAGTAGTTATTTCTTTTATCCCACCCACCCAACTCAACCCCTTTTCATCATTTTCTCTATTCTTCCATTGTTTTGCGACCCATGCTAGTAAAGTAAATGATCAGAAAGCTCCCATCCAGTGTTAAGATAAAAGATGAAATCTAATTGGTTCTTAAATTTGCTCACCTTTCTTTTTGACTGGTGGTTGGATTTCTTCTGCATGGGAGAAAAGAAAAACAAAGAAGTTATTAGTGAATTTAAAAGGCATTCTTCTGTGGTCTTGAACAATGTAAAAAAAGGGCAATTCTGCTGAAATTAAGGAAGAGGCTAATTTCCGTCTGAATAGGATGAGCTTGGAAGTAACTGATTCTATTTGGTTTTTTTTTTAACTCTGACTTTATTGTTTTTATAAATAACTCAAAGCAATGATCATATCTAATACTTCTCCCTCCCTCCTCTTTTCCCCACAACACAACCCTGTGAGATAGGTTGGGCTGAGAAGGAGAAGGATTGGTCTGAAGTCATCTAGATGGCTGTCATGGCTAAGAAGTGACTAGAATTCACAGTCTCCCAGTTTCTGGCCTGATGCCTTAACGACTAGACTAAACCTGCTTCTTTAATACTGACTGCTGATTCAATAGGACACCATTCTGGAAATCAGACAAGTGGCTGTCCAGTCTCTTCTTAAGACCCCCCCCCCAGTGATGAAGCACTATAATTTTAGTGACAATGGCATATACAGGTTCTACTGATTCACTATCTTCATCAGTTGATGAGTTTGAAGAATTTCACTGATCCCCACTTTATAGCTAAACCTGACCAATTTCATTTAAACATTCTCTTTCCTCCTTGTTCATATAGTTGGGACAAAAGCTATTTCATTAGATATGGGAAGAACTGGATCCCAGAGCACTTTCCTCCATTTTGGAGGACGTGGATTGAAAGCTGCCGAGTTTCTCTTTCAGAAAGAACTGACTCCATCAGGGCCAAGAACTTCATTCACAATTTGTTCCCAAGTAGGGGGGCAAATATCGGTTGTTTTTTCAGAGTTAATAAAGAAGAATATTTTCTTGTCCATCATTACTATTCTAACAGAAGCTGCACCTCTTATACAAAATATAATGCCATTAATTTCTATAGTGTTTTTCAGTAAAAAAAGAAAAAGTCCCCAAGATGGCCTATAGAGTTTAAAATGGAAGCATTACATTCAGACAAAGCCATTGCCTCCATTGAATGAGCAGCCTTATTTGATTCTTTTCCATTTTCTGCATTAGTTTTTATGGAACTGCATGAGCTTAAGAGGCCTTATTTGCAAAGGCAACACAATGTAGATAAATGTGCTAAGCACCATGCCATTTCAGTCTGTATGCAGTTCTTTGTAGGGTACTTATAGGAGTTAGGACAAAATATGATGAGAAAGGCTTCCTCATTTGGGGAAAGTCAACTTGATCGACTAGATTTCCATACAGAGAATCTTTAAGAATTCAGTTATCCTAGATCGGGGTGTAAACTGCCAGCCCACGCCCTCCCCATTGCCGGCAATGGAGAAAAAGTCACGATATGTTGCGACACGTTACGTGACATTGCAAGTTTGACACCACTGTCCTAGATCAATGATTTTCTGATATGATATTATTTAAATGGGGCAATCAGCCACTCTCCTTTGTTCTTAAAGAACTCATATTCAATTTTTCTAAATATAAAAAGTAGTGTTTGGAAAATGTCACCCTCCCCCACAAAAAAATCCAACTGTTGAATATTTAAATATCACACAGCTATTAAAAACACAAGGATTTTACGAAAAAATAAAATAAGCCATCTAGGGCAGTAGCAATTTACTCAGGCTTTTAAGTTTAGTGGAGAATACCTTTAGTTATTCTTTCGAAGTCTATTACATGTCAGAATAATTCAGGCATGCAACTTGTTATCTAGGACAGGAGTATGGCTTTCAAATGATATTTATCCAGAAAAGGAACGTGCAATTAGCAGAAAGGTGCGTAATTAGCATAGCACTGCCAGGATAAAGCTGCATTTTTTCTCCCCTAATACCCACTTAATCGCACAAAGCATGTGATTCTTTATAGAAATCAGCAAACCTTTTACTTTCAGGGATGGCTCTCCTTCACCTAAGTCAAGATAGAAAATAATAATCAAATGAATAGCAGAATAATAATCTATTTGCATTCTTATTCCATGCTAGATTATTTTCATATTTAAATGCAGTCAAGCATTATGAGTGGTAAAAGAACAAGAAAAAAGAAAAGAAGCTCTATTTTAAGCTTTTTGTTTTGCTATTTTTATGAGCATATCAGGATTTATGGAAATGATTGTGATCTGAGATAGGAATGGACAAATATAAGTTTGTACATTGAATTCAAGTGGCCCAAGTACCAAATAGATTTTTTTTTCACTGCAATTTCAGTATTTTCCATTCTAATAGCATCTGTTATGCCAAATCTGGTTTCATTCCCTAAACCCAGTGATACATGCTCACCTCTATCATCCTTTTTATTTGTCCTGATAGTCTCAGATGATATGGTGGCAAAGGAGTTCTTTTTTATTATTTGGGAAGGTTGGACCTTCTTCCTTGACCCGAGGCCTGGGTTGCCTATATATGTCCTACAATTGTTAACTTTAGGCAGTCTAATTAAATAAAGTGCCTCCAAAAATCCCTTAACTTTGAGATTTTGACATGTATCATTACCTGCCTATAAGTCATTTGAACAAATGATCATTGAGGTTAACCACTTTCAGTCTGGGACCTTTCAGATAAGCTGAATTATATTTTTCATAATTCCCAGATGTCTATGAATTATAACATAATATAATTGGAGTGTATGTTAAAGGTTGCTATTATTAGCAGGGCTACTTCAGATGTAATTCCTAAACGGTACTTCAAAATATTCTTGCCTTTTTTAGGAAAAAAAAATAACAGATAGCTGCCCTGTCAGGATAAAAAAGACTTATCAAAAACATAGGCAAAATAAACATATTCATTCATTTTGTCTCTAATGTAGACCCTCAAGTAAAGTAAGTAGTACTATGTTTGCTTTTCCTCATCTTTCTTTGAGTGCCAAAGAGAGTTAGGGGCCCAGGGATTTTCATATTTGGACTTCCCTTTTATTCTGAAGGAATAAAAATAGGCCTCTCATTGTTCCATATTCTCCTAAATAAACTGTATCCTTAGTGAAAGAAGAGGACACAATTTCACCTGGTCAATATTTTTAAGCAAATATAGATTAGAAGGATAAATCTATAGTTGACCAGCAGTAGACTACAGAGAACGTGCTTTTTTGTCAATATCCGTGTTGGTTTTCAAAACAGCTTGTTAAACCATCCCAACGCATTTTATCTTACTGTAATGTCTTGCATTGTGTTTAGAAATTGTTATATAAATTAATAAGGTATGCTATGAAATTAAGCTATATGGTGTACTAACTGTTGACATGTATTGTTGATATTCCTGTTTGTTTTTTGCTCTATTATTTACAATTACTGGAGTTTAATTAATGATGAAAAAAAGCATTGTTTTGTGATAAGGTTTACAGCTCCAAGCTGCATACAAAGAGAAAGTTGCCTTAAAAAAGAAGGCATTCAGAGAATGTCATCCTTCTCTCCCTTTCTCTCCCTTTTCTCACATTTCATAAGTTAATCAAAACTGTGTAGAGAAAAAGCACCTTGTGGATTTCCCCCTCCCATGTATGTACTATTCATTATGACAGAGATAGCCCTGCAAACAGGCAAATTTTCTGTCTCAAGGTTAGCAATGGGACTAACTTCCTACTCACAGCTAATATCTAGCTCAACAGAACATGTTAGATCATGAAATAAAATCTGCCTCCTTTACCAAGGATTTCTAATGTATCCAGAAAGTATTATATAAGGGAGCAGTGGGCAGCTATATATATTGATTAAATGAATAAATACATTTTCTGGGATTATGTAACTGTCCTCTGAAATTATCATAGGATCCTGGAAAAAGATGAAGCAGCATTAAAGAATATCAGAGAGGTGCTATGTCTGTATTCCCTCGTGTTTTGGAATGCAAACTATTGTCTGTTCCTAATAATGACCATGACAGTTCTTTTAGTTTAAAAGAAAAATATCTTTCAATCAAGCCTTAAAAATAGGAAGACTTCTAGTATCTTCTCTTATTGGAGTTTTTAATTGGTATATGCAATACACGTTTTCCAAAAACATAAAAGAATCTTCAAATGTTAGAATTCTAATCTGCCTTAGTTTTGAGTTCTTATGAACATTACTACTATAATGTACAAATTTTTAATTAGAAATTATGTACTTTTGAAAGTATTGCTGGATTATATTTAATAAAGGCTTTTTGAGAAAGAATATCATTCATTCAATTCTTTTTCAAATAAAATATAGGATATAATTTGAAACTGAAATTATCTTAGTAAGTATCTTTTATGATTACAGTTTTACACTTTTATTGTCACAATTGAAAAACCTTACGTGACAATTCTTGTTTAGAAAGGACTAGAGAAGTGCATTTCTGGTTTAATAACATGGGTAAATGATCCGATACTCTAACCAGAAATGGGACCCAGTGGTATAACAACATAATGGTTAGTATTTGCAGGCGGTACTAATCGAAGATCCCCACAGTGGTTGAAATTAGGTGCTACTTCAAATTGTCAAATGTCCTTGCCAGGAGTAGTGTTTTTGTTCCAGCTGAGTTTTAAGTATATTAGTTTAAAAGGCATGTGATTTGGGGCTATAAAGGAACATCTCAGTCATGAAATCATTGCTTACAAGTAGTCCTTGACGTACAACAATTTGTTCAGTGACTATTGAAAGTTAGAACGGCACTAAAAAAAGTGACTTGTGACTTATGACCATTGCAACCATCCCCTTGATCACGTGATTTACATTTGGATGCTTGATAACTGATTCATATTTATGACGGTTGCAGTGCCCCGGGGTTATGTGGTCACCTTTTGTGACCTTCTGACAAGCAAAGTCAATGGGGAAGCCAGATTCACTTAACAGCCGTGTTACTAAGTTAACAACTGCAATGATTCACTCAACAAATTACTCACTTAGCAACATAAATTCTGGACTCAATTATGGTGGTATGTCAAGGACTACCTGTGCTTCAGGACTATCTTTTAGCCACCAAGGACTGGATGGGGTTGTTTGTGCAGCCTGGATTCTGGTATGCTGCAGACCGGTGTTGGTCCACAGCCCAGGGGTTGGGTACCCCCTGCTGTACTTTATCCCAAGTAGCAGATAAGCAACATACACACACACACACACACACACACACACACACATATATATATATACATGTATATCCCTACATATACGCATATACTTTCCATTGTCACTCAAGAAGCTACCCACTACACTGTGATAGCTAATTATCAAGTGATGTATTTTGCCTAGAAATTTGAAACTACATAAACATGAGCCTCAAATACGTACTGTTTTATTATTATGTCTAAACAATAATTCATATTATCTATACCATAGAAAAAAATTCTGGTATGGTGAATTGAGTTAAAAAGAAGCTAATTCTGGGCTGTTAAGCTGTTTATTTGTGAGTTTCATTAGAAGTTCCCAAGGACTGGCACATAACCAATTTTTAAATTACTTTAAAAGGGGGGAAAGGCCCCAGAACTCCCCAGCTCCCCAAGCCATAACACAGGCTCTTGTTTAGTCAAAACAATCAAAAGCCTCTTTGAGCTGTTGGACTTAGCTATGCAGTTTCCCCAAATTACTGCCAATGTATATGTTGACAAGACCACAGGTAGTACATTAACATTCAGATTTTCTTTCAGCTGGACTGAAATGTTATTGTTTATGCCAGCAGCTCTGACACCTACTGATTAATGCAAAATGTAAGGTGGGCCAAGGGAACACCTTTAGATTTGAAAGCATCCAATGTCCATTTAGAATGGCTGTTGCTCAAATATTCCTCTCTCACTTGAAATTAAAATGAAAGACTTATGAATAGTACAACTGAAGCTAATTCCTTGGCAGCATGTTTCTCCTGTAGTTCTACCATTTTTGTATATTTTAGAGCAAGGCTGAACACAATGCTAACATTTTAGTTCTGGCATTTTTCCCCTAATAGCTCATGAAATACAATATGAAAACCTATTTTACAAAAAAAAAAAAAAAGGAATTATATTGGCCATTTTGTAAACTTTAGTGCTTCACGAGTGACATTTCATATTCATTTCTGCTTTTTTAAAAAAAATTGCTATAGCAAGATAAATCAAATCAACAGCCTAACTTAAACCTACCTTTTCCATTCTCATCTTCATCTTCAAATATGAGGTCTGACAGTAAAGAAAGAAAGCCATAAATGGAATTGGTGCTCTCTTCCACAGCACCATGCATGATTCTGAATGGATCAGTGGTGAGCTTGTTTATAGACTGCCCTAAATGCAAAATAGAAAGATAGAGAAGGAAGAAATGAAGAATGGGTTGATTGATTTATAACCATCAGAATCCATCTTCTAAGAAGTTACTTTTTATATAACTTATAATAAAACTGCAGCATTAGAGTAGCCTTGGTGGATCTTTTGGGTCACCATTCACTCAATTTAAAGAAATACTTTTTGAACTCTTCACAATCACTTCTGAGTTTTACCTTCATCCATGAGCCTGTTGATTTTCTCCAACAGCTCTAGAAGGTTGGGGGGGGGTGAAGCAGGATTTATTTTTGAAAAATCCATACTGATTTTTCTTTAGCAAGACCTATCCTTCTATACACTTGATTATTATTTTTTTGTACAATTACCATTTCACTCAGAAAAAACATTAAATTGCCAAGCCTAAAATTTCCTGAATCTCTCTTTGTTTCCTAGCTAGTTGTCTATTTCAAATACATTGAAAGAAGTCCATAACATTTCCCACAGTGGATTTTTTAATAATTATTATTTACAGTATTCTTTTTCTGACTGTTTGCACTTTTAATTATGATATATATAAATAACAACTTTTTTATTTCCTGAAGGAAGTCTTTCTACTTTTTAGAGCTTCCTCGACTCTACAATCAATCCATGCTATCTTCTTGGATTTTGCTGATCCTTTCTTATAATGTGATATTTTTCTGAGTCTCATTACTCTGGTTTTAAATAACCTCAAAGAACTGGTTGTATTTACTTCTTTTCAGTTTCTTTTTCATCATCTCCTCATTTTGGGGCATTTTCCTTTTATAGTATTCTAAAGCTTAATCATTTTAGGGTATCAAGAAATTTGTTTTTTTAATCAGGTCGTGAACATGTTTATACTCAGGTTCTTGCATGCCCTGACCATTTTGATTTAGTGGTGGATAACGTATCTCTAGATCTAGTTTATATTTCTGGATAGAGATCTTGTAAAGGAATCTTATGAGAGGAACAATCTTCATAATAGACTAGCTTTTATAACTTTACTCAGATAAAAAAAATAACATGTCCACCCGTATGTCCTTTCCTGTTCTTCTATGAAATTTGTTTACAGAAATGATTGTATCCCACTGATTCTCACTGTTCCCCAAGGTTTCCAATAACTATTGTATCTATGGCCTCATTCACTAGTAAGTTCTCTAATATCCCCATTTTAGCTTGAAGACCTCTATCATTGAAACAGAAATTTTAAAATATTAAAATCTTTTAATATTGCTATTATTATTATTAAAATATGAGTATGAGATATTCATGGCTTTTTTTCCAAACTCTCACATCTATCCATTAATCCAGTTCCAAATTGTTGTATGTTTTATTTTCTTTCATTTTTATAACTTCATTAAAATCTTAAGATGAAAGATAAAAACTAACAAGAACCAATATTTACAATAAAACAGGAAGAGAAGGGAAGAAAATAGAGAACAGAAACAAAGGTGCTGAAAAAAGAAAAGAAATATAAAGAAATAACTTCCAATGTTCTTTTACAGCAGTGAAGTGTAAATGTAAATTGATCTCTTACTCAATAGTTACATTATTTAGATTTTTCTATAAACTTTCTAATTATCATGTATGTATCATGTATCATGATTTCATCTTTTTTCAATTTCATGCAAAAAGTCAATAAATGGTTTCTAATCAACATTGAACTTAGACAATGTTTTGCCTCTAATTAAAGCCATCAACTTGTCCATCTCAGCAAGTTCCATCATCTTCACCATCTATTCCTCCAGTGAGATATAGCAGAATTTTTCTACCTTTCTGCATATAATATATGCATTTGTCATATATAAAAACAAAGTTCTATGCTTTTCCCCCCATCTACTTATCCATCAGTCCCAAAAGAAAAGTCTTTGGTTTCAGTTGTGTATTAATCTTTAAAATTATTATTATTGTTGTTGTTGTTGCTGTTGTTGTTGTCGTTATATATGATTGAGTCTAAAATTTTCTAGCTTTTTTACATGTTCCCCAAGAATGATAAAATGTCCCTTTGTGTTGATTACATTTCCAACATAAGTTTGAAGAAACTTTATTCACTCTACACAGTTTTCTAGTGACATGTACCAACAATATATTGCCTTATATTATTTTCTCACCCTTCCAAACTTGATGCTGCTTAGCCCCTGTTAACTTTCCCCCAGGGGATTACTTCAAAGCTTCTTTGGCAGTGCATTGATGTTAAAGGTCAGCAGTTTGATTCCACTTCAGTTCAAGGGAAGTCTATCTCTCCAATTTTGTTTGTCCAGAAATGTTCCCCAAGGCTTGTCAAATGTGAATCTTTCCACTGGGTACTACATTACATCAACACATTGATATCCTTGAACTCTGGCTGTCTAGTTGTTCCTATGAGTAGAACAGGTAGCATTCTGAGAATGTAATGACCTTTCTAATTCCTAGGCTTCAATTTGTTATCTTGCAGCCTAAATGTGATTTTCAGCCCAGGCTAACTATATTTTCCAGTGTCACTAGTATCAAAGGAGACCAGGATCATTGCCTTATCCCTTGCACTGTCCGTCTGTTTATTTAAACAATGTGTCAAATCTGCCAATTTTGCACTAGGCAGGCAAGTCACTGTGTGATTATAGGTGCTGGTGAGAATGAGTAGGAGTTAAGTGATAAAATGTTTCTTATGACATGTCAGTACAAACTTTGCCTCTTATGTATTTGTGCAACATCAACCTCATGATGCAAATATGAAAGGGTGCAGCTTGCATCATAACATGCTAATACATATATTGCCATTTTGCCACCGCTGTGGTTAGAAATGGACACCTATACATATGATGTAGAAAACTGATAAATAGTAGAACACTGACAGAGATGTCCCCTAAACGCTGCTGAAGATGTTACCTAGCCTGGTAACAAAACATTTAGAAACCAACCCACAAGCTCAAAGAATGAACCTTCACCCTCATCCTACACCTGAGCTGCAGATATTCGTCACTATTGCATACTTCAAAATGGTTGTGTATCTAATTCTACTTTTCAAATTTAAAGAATTCATTTTAAAGAAAATAAAAACCCTTACCTACAGATAATGAGAAGAAATTATGAGCTTCTAGGTAATACTATACACACTAAACTTCAAGCAACTTCAAGGCTTTATGACAACTAATGGGGCTTACTGAATCAATGTGATGACTTTAAAACTAGATTTAAATAAGCTGTTAAATTGTATGATGATTGTTAGAAGATGAAGCACACTACTTTTATTGCACTCTATATTTTATTATTATTTATAAGAGCAGGGGGAACAATCTATGCTGTTTCATAATTATCAGAGGCTCTCCCCTTTTTAAATATACCTCTGAGTGCTCTTTCATAATTTCTCTATCTTTCATCTAAAAGACAAAAGCCCCTCATTGACTCATTTTGTTGGAGGAATCAAAGTAGCAGGCTACACTTGAATTATAGATATAGCTCTGAGAAGTTCCCCAACCCTATTAGACCAGTAATGTGCTTGTAGTAACAATCTAGAGTAGACATGTCAAACTCGCGACATCACATGACGTCATGTGACGTATCAGGACTGTTTTGCTATTGCCATCAATAGGGTGGGCGCGGCTTCCGTGTGACGCATCCAGCCCGTGGGCCGGCAGTTTGACACCCCTGATCTAGAGCAAAGTCACCCACATGCACATAAGTCAAATGGAGGGTGTATGCACTTTTTTAAAAGCAGGGGAAGGTTACTTGAAGCTTTACAGCTTCTTTTGAACTTCTGTCTAATGTAATGCAATTCTTAACCTAATTTAAATAAAAACTTATGCAAGCAAAAAAAATTAGATCTTTGGAAGGACTGAGCTTCTTCTTCTATCCAGGCAGAAAAGTAAAGAGAAAAAGGAGTGGGAATCAGTAAATAGCAGTTCAAAGAAAAAAAGGAGGGGTCAGAAAGAATGAAAATAGAGTGTCAGGGGAGTACATGAGATGCAAGTATACAAATACAGCAGTGTGCAATGATATCACTCTCTGTCTTATCATTCCTTAATTATTTGACTGCCCATCTCACATAGCAGCTATGGGCAGCTTACATCAGTAAAACATACTGTAAAACGCAGCTACACCCAAAACAGTCATGAGACTAAACCAATCTAAACAACGTAGCATGTCACAGATTGTTACTAAAATGCCTGGAACATGATCAGTCTTAAAGGCCTTTAGAAGGGTCAGTAAAATTGAGGCCAGTTGAAGCTCAGGGGGAAATGGTCTTCCATTGCTCAGAGGCATCAACCAATAAAGCTCATTTAGCTAATGTGCAACATGCATGGGCTGAAGTACATGCATGAGCTGCTGTATTTTGCACCAGCTGCAGCTTCCCGATGCTAAATTTGATTTAATGAAAGTGTTTCCTATCTTCAATATCTAAATAATAATTTAAGAGAATTTACACATTACAGTAACAGTTTGCCATTATTACCAAAGAAGACATCTATCTTGCCTGCATAAATTACTCTCATTTGCACTTATTTTATTGCGTTAAATATATTGCCCCATTCACGTGTTATTGGAAAAAAATACTAAACAAATCTTTGTAGTCTATTCAAACTATTAAAATATGATTCGTAATTATTTAGCAAGCACAGAAATGAATCGGAGACCAAAGTTTAATTCTCAATGGTCTCATTAAGATTGGAAAGCTACATGAAATAATTTGCCCAGACAAATCTGTGAGTCACTTAATATAAAAGAATGATAATCAGGGCTCAGCTGATTTCAGGATTGTTTGGAAATCTGCAAATTCAGCAAAAAAAACCCATCCTCTATCACATAAGGGAATAGCACCCAGATTTCTTGGTATAATAAGTTCAGGAACTGAAAGCAATCCTGGAAGGACTGGGCAGATTCTAAGGTCTGATCATGTCAGCAGCCAATTTGTCAATGACTTTACTATATTTTAACCATGGGAAAATTGTCAGTAGAAGACAGACATACAAAGAAGCTAAGGACACCCTTAAGTTATCTCAGGCACAGATTGTGATGAAACTTAGATAACATGACAGGGACAGAAGGAGAAGGACATTCATGTCATGTTTTGGCAGGAAGAACCCATGGATTGGATCTAAGACATGACTTAGATAATAGCTTATTATTTCTACAGAACTAGCAATGGGCAATGCTATAATGATATTATACCATTGCCCATTGCTGGTTCTGTAATGTAGAAATCATCATCCACACTAAAAGATTACAGCCTACTACACCCCAGAATCCTCCTAAAAGCTCATGTCAAACTGTAATTTTTAATTTCCCGGGAGAGAAAATGGTCATACACAAAGAAAAAAAAATATTAGTTGAATTAAATGTAAATTACATTTATACCGAATTCAAACAAATGGAATTTTCTTCCTTGTTCCTTAACCTAGTATTTTTTTCTTTTAGCTTTAAAAAGCTTGATTTATTTTGTAGCCCAAGTCAAGCAAATGAAAACATTCTAGAGAATTTTTCCATTGTGCTGTTTGTTATACGAGCTTCTAAAAACTAAATGAAAATGTTAAACAAGTTTGAAGATCTTTCAGATCTTCACAAAAAAACGGGCATCTTGAGGTTAACAGATCCACGTTCAGCCTCCACATTTTATTGTATTTCTGAAGTAAGAATTTCTGAAAGGAGGATAGAAATCTATTCAGCTAAAGATTGTAAACAAAATCTTGAACAATCTAGTGTGAACAATAACATACAAAGTTGATAAATAATTAAATAAAAAGAAATAAGGTGTTATAGAGTAACTAGATATCCCAGATATTTAAAAACAGATATCAGTGTTAACAGCTCACGTTTGGTACATAACTCTGTTAATTTGTGGAGAACAATGATTTGGTGAGTTCCCAGATGATACTTCTCACCAGGCTCTGCTGCATGCATGAATACCTTACATTTTACGGCATATATCACCATTACCTGCCAGGGTTTTGTAATCCACTAAGTCAAACATGACAATAGCCACTGCTGACCAGGTAACGATAAGAGCAACAACAAGGAGCCATGCTGCAGGTGAACTGAAGGTTGTTGCAAAATCTTCTGATACCGATCTTTTGGACATTTTCATATGCGGCACAGGAACTGATCCATTCTTGTTGTCTATGACGGTCGTTGTGGACACAGGTCCTAACAACAAGTAAAAGAAATTAAATCAGTGCACAGTATCTTGACACTGCATTTCCACTACTATCCAATAAAATGTGGAAAAAAGCAAAGTCTTACATTTAGGCAGGAAAAACCAAAAGTTTAAGTACAGATTGGGCATAGACCTGGCTCAAAAACAGCAACTATGAGAGGGACCTTGGAGTCCTAGTGGAAGATCACGTGACTATGAGCCAGCAGTCTGCAGCAGCAGCCAAAAAAGCTAGTACAATCCTGGGTTGTATAAACAGAGGCATAGAATCAAGATCATGCAAAATATTAGTACCATTTATTAAACCCTAGCAAGATCACACCTGGAATACTGCAGCCAATTTTGGTCATCATATCATAAAAAAGATGTTGAGAGTTTAGAAAAAATTCAGAGAAGAGCAACTAAGATGATCAAAGGCCTGGAGACTAAAACATATGAAGAACAGCTTGGCTTTGGCTGGTCTAAAGAAAAGAAGAAACAGGGGTGACACAATAGCAGTATTCCAGTATTTGAGTGGCTGCCACAAAGAAGAGGGGGTCAAAATATTCTCCAAAGCACCAGAGAGCAAGATGGTTGGAAACTGACCACACAGAGAAGCAACCTATAATTAAGGAGAAACTTCCTAACAGTGAGGACAATTAACCAGTGGAACAGATTGCCTTCAGAAATCGTGGGCGCTCCATCACTGGAGATTTTAAAGAAGAGACTAGACAGTCACTTGTCTGAAATGGTATAGGTTCTCCTGCTCGAGCAGGAGGCTGGACTAGAAGACCTCCAAGGTTCCTTCCAGCTCTATTCTATTCTACTAAAGGCGAGACAAGACAAAAAGAAGAAAAAGAGAAGAGAATACAGGAAGCAAAGTATTTAATGCAGCAAAGACTGAGGTGGGAAGTAGCCAAAAGGAAAGGAATTCCTAAAACAGTTGGCAGCCAACTATCATTCTTAGGAGAAAAGGATGGGAAAGGAGAAGAGAATATAAAAAGAAGTAAAGGAAAAGCACAGAATTAAAAAGTCAAAGATGACATCCACAGGGCCAAGGGAAACAGCCAGCTTTTGAAAGACACACAGGGGTGCCTGTAGAATGGGCCCCAATTTTTCTCTTTCATTATAAGTATACTCTACAGTAAAATGAACCTTAAATGGTTTAGCTTCTTGCTGTTCTTTATATTCATATTTTAATAAAGGCAAATGTATAATGGTTTTTATTCAAAGTTACATTAGATTTTTTATTTATTTATAGTGAACACTTAGTTCCATTGTAAGAGGTTTTAAAAATGAAGAATCCGGGAGCTTCCTTTAAGAAACAATACTGTATACGCAATAAATGCTTTATACCTGATGTTGTTACTATTTCCCAGTACTACCAAACCATAATTTCCATTTTTCCTGTGGTTTGGGATTATAAATGTGATTGCAATTTGCATTCAATTGTACCTTGTCATTTCATTACTCTTGTCATTTGTTTGTTGCTTTCTGTTTAACCCTATTTTAGTTAGCCAGAATTTCAATGGCAAGTTGGATGTCCATATAAATAAGCAAAGTCATATTCCAAAAATTGTTAAGTGTTAAGATAAAATTAATTTGTTATTGTTATTTGTCTCCTGATTAAATGAAAGTTATATCCTAAATACAAGACTAGTTAGCAGGCTTCTATTCTTATAGTCAAAGATTATACAACAGATTTTTTTAAAGTATGGACAATATTTATAGTCAAAAGTCATCTTTGAGTCAAGTTGGATTCTTGGTGATTTATAGGAATATGTTCCTATAAATAACAACAACACCCCAGTGAGGAACCTCAGGATGGCAATTAAACAACTTGAGATGATCCAATCATTCAGACAATCAGTTTTTTCTATGAGCTTCTATAACTGAAGGCAATGATTCCAAAACTGGCAAATTGGCATTGCCCTCATTTTGAATGTCTTGCCTCAATGAGCCGAGCTTTATTTGGGCAACATATATAAAGTAAACTTGCCATATGAGAACAGGAATAAACTGTATATGATGTCTCACAGGTAACTTCATTAAGAGTTTCTATACAAATTATTTGTTCTCAACATAAATTTGTACCTTATTTCTAATGTTTATTTTTACATCAGATAATATGTCCATGACTAAACAACTCTATTAAATCATAATGGAAATAAGTTGATTTTCTGTACAGTGTAACGTTAGTTTATCATTTCAATGTCCCCAATGTGGTAAAATTAGATTATAATTTGACGCATAAAAAAACCTAACTATACATTATTCTGGGTTTACATAATGACATATAATCAGAAGTAATGAACAATATCTAAGAAAAGAAAAGTCTATTTCTGCCACGATTCCCAAATGAGTGCAATAACTTTCCCTATCAATATGACAATCAATACCTGTTTAAGTTATTTTGCTGCAGATTTAGGCAGAGAGAGAGAGAGAGAGAGAGAGAGAGATCTTTGCAGATTTAAATGCGGTGACTGAAATTTTGAAACAGTTCCACCAATTGTCAGAATTAGAGTTGTTCAGATGTGTCCTTACAATCATTCACGATGATAACACAATCTCCCAGCTTTGCTAGAGAAGATTCTAATGGTTTTCAAAGCCAACAGACATAATTCTAATTGGCTTCCTTGTCAGCAGGACAATTTAACCCATTTTGCATTGTACACAATTTCCCTTGTTCTTTGTCCTCTTTTCGTTTGCATTCTTTTCAAACATTCTTCTGCTGATCAAGTGATTTGTTTGAAACTTAGGATTTCTACCTTGAAATGTCACGTAAGCTGAACAAAATTGGCATAGCTTTTGCCTCCTACATGAAATGGGTGTTATTGATGAATGATGTATTCAGCTTAGTGCATTCATATACATAGATGCAATCTGTCTGCTTTTAAAAATATTTTTACATGTTAAAAGACATCACTTTTTCCATTTTCCAAGGCATAATTTTTGTTCCATCCAATTTCTCCAGGAGACAAAGTTCTCTGAGTACCAGTTATAAAGCTCTACTATAAAATGCCAATTTCCATTATGTATTCCATCAAAAGTGGAACAGTTGTGTGGTTGCAACAGGTGATGCTGCTTAAACGCATTCTATTTCAGCTGCTTCTATCATGATGACTATTATTATATAATAGTTAAAAGAAATAACAGCTATACTAAAAAAGAACTAAAGGACATCCTGGTCAGAGATCTCAAAATCGTTATGAGCATCACCTGATTTACATATTGGAAAATCAAAGGGAAAACAAACATTTCTGAAATCCTCCTGATTCAAATTCCTCTGCCCTATTTTGGAGGGTTTGATAAATCTTTGCATAAGGATGAACTATTAAAGAATGCTTTTGCAAATTCTAATTCAAGCTCACCTGCTATGCAACACCTGGATTAATATGCAGATTGAGATATATCTATTTATCCAATTTTGTAGTTCTCTGACATGATTTTAGTTCAAAAAAATGTGATGACTTGCATTAGAAATATTCTGAAGAAAAATAGTGCATGTAAAATAATGTATTTCTAAGTTCTCCAAAGAATTCTGCTGCTAAATACTGAAGATGGAATATTACTCAGTGCTCAAAAATATATCTGAACCCTGCATTTCTTGTGAAGCCTTTGGTCATTTGTTTGTGAATGTAAACCATGGCCAAATTATGACTGAAATGGATGATGTATTTAGGTAAGATTTATATCCCATCTCTATTACTTGGGACCAAGGACACAACTGATCTCTAATGTAACCATGACTAGTACTGAGCTAGTCTCACTCCATATCCATTGAGCACCCTACATGAAAAAAAAAAAAACAATGCTTCTGTTTTTTACTAAACCAGTGGTTCTCAACCTGTGGGTCGGGACCCCATTTGGGGTCGAACGACCATTTCATGGGGGTTGCCAAACAATGCAGTCCGCCATTTTTTTCCCCTTTTCCTTAGCTGTGCTACTCCCTTTTATTCTATTGGCTTTTGAAAGCCAATAGAATAGACTCTCTTGAATAGAGTCTAATTCTATTGGCTTTCAGAGGCCAATAGGAATTGTCCAGGCTGTCTCTGCCCTGCTGAGCCCACCAAAAGTCCTATTCTGCAAACGGTGCTGCACCAGTTGAGCAGTCCTCGACTTATGACTGGTTGAGTAGTCCTCGATTTATGACCGGTTGGGGGTCGCGGCATTAAAAAGGTTGAGAACCACTGTACTAAACAGACTGCATCTCCTGATTATGGAAAGTTCAGATACATCACAGTTGAAAGATTTAGAGATGACAAAAGGGAAGAAGCAGCAGAGCAGATAACATTGGGCCAGTCTATTCAGTATCCAGGCTGCAACCTGGATATCACTTTTAAAGGAAAAAAATCAGAACAGTTATGGAGAAGAGCAATGAAGGTGATTAAGTTTTTTTAAAAAAGGCCTTCAACAATTGTCTTAGATCCTGAGGTTGTTAGTTTTCAGAAGAAAAGAAAGAATAGAGATATTTTGTTAGTTTTTTTGTCTTAGAACACTTTTTTTCAAAAGTCGTATGCCGTTGCCGCCTTCTTAGGGCTGAGAAAGAGTAAATGGCCCCAAATCGTCAGCTGGCTTCATGCCTAGAGAAATACTAGAATTCACAGTCTCCCCAGTTTCTAGTCTGATGGTTTAACCACCCACCAATCTAGCTCTATGTGAATATTACAGTATAGTGGTCTTCAAATACCTGAAGCAATACAAGTACACACACAACTCAAAATCCACTTTTTGTTCCCTCAGTATGAGAGACCCAGAATAATTATTTTAAGATACAGAAAGAAATATTCTAGTCAAGAAAAAACATCCTCGTCTGACACTGGAATAGTAGTCTCAGAATGCAATTGATTACCTCTTTGCCAAGTGTATTCTGGATAGTATTCTTTGACCTCCTGCACTGGGCAAGATTTGCAGTTAAAAACTGAAATGTCTTTTTCTAGATAGCTGATTTGACTTTTCTAGATGGCTCCATATTCAAGTATGGTACAATACATATTTCATCTCTTCTAGAACA